AATAATAATAATAATAATAATAATAATAATAATAATAATAATAATAAATGTTCAGGGGATGGAATGTTAGAAGGAAAAGGCTGAGTGGCAATGGTTAGAAGCATCCACGAAGGGTGGCTTTTCAGCCAAGACTGCCCTGGTTTTAGAGCCTTGTTCCTTTTTTTAGAAACACTGACCTGATGGGACACTCTTTATGGTAGAGCCAGCCTATTTTTTTGTTTGTTTGTACAGTATTTCCACTGGCCTGTTCATTCCTCCCTCCAAGTTCCCTCTTGGGATCGTTCTGTTTGAATCTAGCCGGGCTAACTTGCCTGCCTGGTTTTAAAAACTGATTGCTGCTGCTATTGTTACCCCATTTCTCACCCTACAGTTAACACCCGTAGTGTGCTTTTGATTTTGGGTCCTCCTCTCTGCCTTCCTCCTTTGGGCTAGCAACTGCCCTGGGCTATTGCTGGACTCAGTACCGGGGGTAGGAATGGTGTTGGGCAATATGAATTGATTGACTGACCTACTTCAGTTTCATCCTTGGGCGGGCAGGATGAATGCCCAGAGAAACAGTTAAGGGAGGGAGGAAGAAGGAGGAACGTGCCTTTGTGCCATATGTTCTTTTCTTCTTGCCTCTGCCCTGGCTGAAAAGGGGCATAAAGGAGCCCAGGACGATTTGCAGCAGTCCCAGATAGGTCTTGTGCTGTCGCTGGTGCCTCTAGCAGCTCCTGCACTGATCCTTTGCTGTCTTGCAGCTGGTTTTCTGCAGCCGTTTCTCCAGGAGCTACTACTACGTGCTCTCTTCGGCAGCAGCAGGAGCGAGAAGTGGAGAAGGATAAGGGTGTCTTTCGACTCCCCAAGCGTGCATGCCAGATCTCTGCAACTTGACATCGGAGCTTCTCTTTTGCCATCTGGGACTCCGCGCCGCCCTGAAGCAGTCGCACAGAAGAACGGAGGAGAAAGAGGAAGCACTTTTAGCAGCACTAACCCTGCCCTCTGTGGGGTTTGCATTACAGGAACATGCAGTGATTTGCTGCTTTGCCTTTAGACCCATCCCAACCGTCAGGGTGTGTGGTATATGGTGTGTGTGGGAGGGGGAGATCTACTGTCTCTGTAATAAATGATAGAGGATACAATGACTTTGCTCTCTTTGCTGGGTCGGATCATGCGTTACTTCTTACTGAGACCAGAGACGCTGTTCCTGCTATGCATCAGCCTGGCCCTATGGAGCTACTTCTTCCATACGGATGAAGTGAAAACCATAGTCAAGTCCAGCAGGGATGCAGTGAAAATGGTGAAGGGCAAGGTAGCTGAAATTATGCAAAATGACCAACTTGGGGGTCTAGATGTGCTGGATGCAGAGTTTTCCAAGACCTGGGAGTTTAAGAACCACAATGTGGCTGTTTATTCCATCCAAGGCCGGAGAGACCACATGGAAGACAGGTTTGAAGTGATCACGGATCTGGTGAACAAGACTCATCCATCCATATTTGGGATATTTGATGGACACGGTGGAGAGGCAAGTTTCAGGCTGGTTTGGGGTGATGGAATTTGCTATTGTTTTGTGTTCAGATGTTTGGGAAGTTAGGCAGTGATCATACGGGGCTTTGTAAGTTAGCTGCAAAGTTGATTTGTGCTGTTGTAACAATCTTTGATTTGCTCAAAATCAATTCCATGAGTGTCATTGGAAAGAAAAAGGGGATGCAGCTGAATCTTCAGTGAATTGAAATTGTTGATCCAGAACCTTAAGAGCATTAATTGTGCTCGTTCATGTGTTTGGAATAAGCTCTTAGAATCAAAACTGACTTGCCTTCAATGATGGTATCTGCAGTTAGTTAAAAGCTACCTTTGTTTTGATAAAGCATAAATGTACGACTGTAAAGTAAAAGCTATCAGGCGATTGCCGACAGAGGGATGTGCTGGCAAACTTTACCACACTCCATTTTTGCAACATTTCTTCATTATGACTTTGTTTATGGTATGTTCTGTATCCTTTTTTTTTTACTCACTGAGATGAGTTGCTTGCCTAGAATAGAAGTGAAAATAGATGCCATGTGCCTCCCTGCAGCATATGCGCAGAAGAATGGCTGTAGCTTTTTTGCAGTTGTGTGGGAGAAGCCAGGTTTATTTGGATAATGACTAACTGCATGTGTGTTTATTAGCCACACATTAGAAAGTGGCTTCATTCTATTCTATTTGAATTCAGAGGGTGGCTCTGAATGGTTAAGGGAGGGGGTTTCGTGCCCAAGTTAAACATTCATACCAGCTGAAGTAATTGGCGGATTTGTTTTTATTTGCTTCCGTATTTTTTTTTATCAAGAGTCTGCATTTCCTACAGCTGTTCTGATAAATCAAACTTGCTGGAAAAGCTCTGATGGTGATCAGAAAGAAATTGAACCTCCTGGGGAGAGCAGCTGTTCCTATAATGGGATATGTTGTGCCTCTTGATAATCTTCTGTTTGTTTGTCAGATAAGGAGATTGGGTGGTTAGTGGCCCTTTCTCTGTGTGTGGGCTTAATGAGAAGCAGTTTGATTGGAGTGTGGCTGGAATTGCTCTCCATATTCTGCATGGCTCTCCAAAGTCACAAAATGGGGAAATTGGCACCCTGATAACAATTATGGGCACTGGAGTTATGTAGGATGAAATCTGGAATTGGGGGTGAAATCTGGGTAGCATAGGATGAGCAGTTGTTTCCTCTACCCTCTTCAAAATGAGCAGTTCTTGGCTTATTGTCTTTTGAAATCTTTGTTTTTCACGCTGTTAACCAATATGAGAGAGAGCCGATACTGAATTCATGTTATTGTTGAAAGCTTTGGTTAGGTCATCTAATCTGAGGTTGAGATTAGATGTACTTTCTCTTCTTAGTTGACATTTGGGAATAAGGGTTTGAGGTTAATGAAAGTATGGAAGAGATTGTGTGCCGTCATTTGAAGTTTATGTGTAAACAGCATTGCTCTGCAAGTCCCATTCACCTTTGCTTGGGAGAAATTCCTGAAGATAACATTGTCCTGTCAGGTGCTTTGTCCTCTGCGAAGAAACTCTGCTTTTGACCCCATCCCCTTCCTGCTCCTTCATCATATTAGATACTCTGTGCCTTCTGTCAGCAGTTTGAACTATGGTTAAAATAGATTTGATAGCTTGGCAAGCTGTTTGGTTGTTCCTCATGTGCTACAGTCAACCTCTCATCCTTCCAAATCATTAGCTTAGCCACATCTAAAACATTGTCTTAAAACATGATAAAATGCCTATTGTGCTTAGAAATTTAAATGTAGCTTTTATCTTTCAGCCTATGTTTAACAGCACCTTTTGTTTCATTACATGAATGATGCTTTGCAGAATCTTATTAGTGAATAAGCAAATTTTTAGCTATTAAGCCATATGTTTGCAGATACAGTATAATATGCATTTGTTTGTTTTAGTGGATACTTATTAATACTGAACAAAACCTTTCTGACTACCTAAATTGAATAATCTTAAATCAGCACATTGTGCTCCTACCCAGATTAAAATATAGAGTTGCTTATATGTTTAATACATTTTATTACAGGTAGTCCTCGACTTACGATCACAATTGAACCCAGAATTTATGTTGCTCAATGAGAAATTTGTTAAGTGAGTTTTGTCCCATTTTATGACTTTTCTTGCCATATTTGTTAAGTGAATCACTGCTGTTGTTAAATTAGTAACAGGGTGGGAATCTGGTTTCCCCAGTGATATTGCTTGTTGGAAGGTTGCACAAGGTCACATGACCCCGGGACACTGCAGATGTCATAAATGTAAACCAGTTCTCAAGCATCCAAATGTAAATTATATGACCATGCGGATGCTGCAACGATTGTATCTGTCGTATTTTTTCAATGCCGTTGTAACTTTGAACAGTCACTAAATGAGCTGTTGTAAGTCAAGGATGACCTGTATATTCCATCAAGTTGGTGTCGACTCCTCATGACCATATAGTTAAACCTTAGCCAGGATAATCATTTTCCAGCTTTACTTTTCAGGTTTCCTAATGGGGCATCATTATCGTTACAATCAAATCCATCCATATTGCCGCAGGTTGTTCTCTTCCCTTCTTTGCTAGCATTTTTTATTTTTCAAGGGAGCTTGCATTGTGTTTACATGATGTGTGCAGAATACTATAATTTGAGCCTGATCATTTGTACCTCAGGTGAAAATGCTAGATTAATTTGTTGTACAACTACGTTGTTTTCTTGGCTATCCATGGTATTTCAAAAGTCTTCTCCAACGCTAAAATTCAAAAGCGTCAGTATTCTTTCTGTTCTGCTTCTTTAAAATCCAACTTTGACTTGCTTGTTAATCTAAGTGTATCTTTAAAAGGTTATAGCACTAAAGTAGGTACTGGCAGATAGAAATGCAGTCACATAAATCAGGGGTACCCAATCCGCAGCATACCAGAAACCGGGCCACACAAACAAGTGAAGCCCCATCTGTGGGATACAAGCACTACACAAAAACACACCTCTTTTGGTCCGTGGAAAAACTCTCTTCATGGAATCGGTCCCTGGTGACCCAAAAGTTGGGGGCCACTAACACAGAGAAACTTTTCTTGAAGTGGACCTCCTGCCTCCCATATGGAAAGATGTGTAGCATCAATTTTACAAGCACCTTGGGTAATTGCTTCTGTCAAAAAATTCTATAATATGATTCTGAAATACATAGAAAATAGACGGTATGAACTGATTCTGTATTAGAAGATTGCATTGTCTTCATAAACAGTGCATGAGTGCAGCTCATATGTGCCTGCGTTACTCAATATTAGTTTGTATTTGGGATTTATAAATAATTCTAAGCAAACAACTGACATCGAAGTGCTTAGGATTTTGATGTCATATTGACCTTTTGATCTAGCTTAAAACCTCCCACGGTCTTGGAACTTCTGCCTTTTTCAAAGGTCCTATTTAGTTTTCATTATTGTGCCAAAGGTGATTCTTTTGGAAGGGGTGAGAGGGAAAGATTTAATCTTTAACCCTCTTCATATACTTCTCTTTAAAATTGCAAATCTCAGCCCATCAGTTAGCCTAAAATGGAAGACTGAGTTATTTGTAGGAATGGGTTTTTTTTCCCCTCCTCCTAAACTGGGGTTATTACCCATTTTTTTAAAAAAAGAATCTGTTTCACACTGAGCTAAAAAGTTTCTCTAGCTGAAACTTATGTTATAATTTTTTATAATTACAATAATAGTTTCTGGGGGTTGGCAGTATATATACATTTACTATTGCTGCTGCTGTTGTTTCTTTTTTGTTATAAATAACTATAGTTGAGTGCAAACATTTTATTTTTGTGTGCTTGTTATTTTTATGTATAAAACAGGAAGGTGATTTTCTTCTCATTCTTTTCTTACACAGGTAAACATTCTACAAGATATCACCGCAAAAAAAATTGATATTTTTTTTTGGTGGTCTCTTTAAACGGAGGAGGTTATCACTTCCAACCTGTCATGGAAAAGCTTTAGTTGTCTTATGATGTACTTAAAAGCACTTGCAAAAATGCCGGATGTGCCTTTGCAATTTATTCTATGTTGATGAGTTCTTTGAACAAGAACATCCTTCAACTGTCACCTTGAGGGATGTGATTGCGCTTAATTCATTTTATTCAGTAACATTCAAGACGGTTGGGCTTTTTTCAGTCAGTTGTTTGGACTGCTTACCTGCTGTAACAGTGCAGAATTCAGTGGGGAAAAAAGAGTTAATGAGCCAGAATAATCTGAGAGTTTTGGGGGTGGCAGATACAAGGAGTTGATTCTAGCCAGACTCTTATTTGGTTTAATATGTAACATGACCTTGACTGAGTCCACCCATCACTGCAATTAATGTACTTTACGTTGTAGGAATGTAAGTTCAGTGACGTTTTTCGGGAAAGAAAACGGCACCAATTGCTGTTGCTAAGAATTGAAATTAAATATGACGCTTCTTAACCACAGCAATTTTCATTGTTGAATTGGTGCCCTCTAAATGTGTTGGGATTTAATCACCCTATAATTCTTTATCAGTGCCTCTCTTTGCCAGGGATTATGGGTGTTGAAGTCTAGTACAGTCTTGAGAATGTGGGCGGGCATATGATTTTGCTTTTAGTTTCTGGTACAGATTCTCTAAGTTTACTTTCTTTCAGTGAAGATAGGATGGCCTAATTGTAGGGTTGTTAAGTCAGTAAAGAAATCTGTCAAAACCTTTCATAAATTTATATGTAATTTATATGTAATCTGAGTATGATTTTTCTACTTTTCAAATAAAAAAAGACTAATACATATTGTCCTCAACTTATGACTACTATTGAGCCCAAAATTTCTATTGTTAAGTGAAATATTTGTTAAATGTTTTTCTCATTTTATGATCTTTTTTGCCATAGTTGTTAAATGAAACACTGCAGTTGTTAAGTTGGAAACACGGTTGTTAAGTAAATATGGCTTTCCTATTGTATTTACTTGTCAGAAGATTGCAAAAGGTGATCAAAAGGACACTGAAACCATCATAATGAGTCAGTTGTCTGAATTTTGATCA